TTGTTTCTAGTCTTTTCTAATTTCTTACGTTTTCAATATCCCACCCAAAGCAAAACTTATATGCAATTAAATATTCTTTATAAGTCCAAGAAAATATTTCGTAGTGTTAGCTATGTAGAACAAAAATTTGTTTTGATAAAATTTTTAATATGGGCCTTTATTTGCCAATAAAATCCTTTGTAAATGTGAGTTTTATTAAACTATTTGAATAGACAAAGTGAAAGTTAGGGTAGAAAAAATATATATACATACATATATATCTATGGAGTGATGTCTTTGAGATTCAATTTCCAGCATGAAACGGCCTGGTTTTGGAGTTTATTTGTTATCAGTGAAGTGAATGAGATTTGAGTCTAGCTGGGCATTGGTTTAAAAAGCTGAAAGTGAAGTAGGTGGCAAGTGCCAGCTCCCTCTTTCATGTAGTTTTCCATAATACTCATGGAGTTTCCTTATGGTCTATGTGATATAACTGGTGTTGAAATAACTATATTAGATGAATATTCCTTTTTGGAATTCAAGGTTGACTCACTTTTTGAGGAGGGGGGTGGCAAGGGATAAGAGACTTTATTTTAACTGGAGGCATTCTTAAAACCTCAAGATGTACTCTAGAAAGAGTAGGAGAACAAAAAGCGTACCTGTGAACATATTTTTTGTCTTAGTGAGTTTGCGTGACAGTGTTTGGAATTGAAAAAAAAAAAAAATGACAGTTTTGTCAATAGAACAGAAATGTGTTTTGACTGAAATTATTTTTTGTAAATTATTATTTCATTTTATATTCCCTCTCCTATAGCCTTTTAGGAGCTTCATACTTAAAACCAACAGGTTAGAGGCCTCTCTTCAGAGCTGGTTTATTTTTGGAATGCCTGAGTGTGTTTCTGGATGGAAGGGGTGCGGCAGGGGGTGGTGTTTTAATTCTCGACATGCTCTTCTCAGCACGTTTTGCTATTTATTCTGGATCTTAAGTTTGCAAATTCTGTTGAAAATTCAGTGATGTATTTGAAATGAGAAAGTTCTCTATGACATAGTGTGAATGTGTATGGCTGGACTCTATTGTGGAACTTTGTGGCTTTGTTTTTAATTGAGGTAGAAAGTTATAAACTTCCATTGTTCAGACTTGAGGTTTATCTAGTGGAAATGTGCCCGGTAGTTATCTAAATATGGACCAATTTGGGGAAATGAATGTTGACAAATGTGTATTTGACTCTAGATAATCCTTTTTTCAAAACTGTAACTTAAAGGCTTACATCATTATAGTTGTCTTAGGTTTTATGTTGTCTTGGGTTAAATGTGGATGATGATCAGTAGAATATCTATGAATTTTCTTTGGGAAAAGAGAAATATTCAGTCTCCAAACCTTTTCTTGGAGACTAAATTTATCATATATGGAAAACGAAAAAAATTTAGAAAGTGGTTTTGATTATTTTTAAATAGGGTTTAATCAGTTTAATTATTTTTTCTAGTTTGTAGCACTTATTTCCCAAATATGAATAAAGGGAAAAGATCAACAATATGCCCCCCTCCTTTTTGAGGACATTTTTAGTTTTTTTGACCCCATTTCCCAATCCTAGTATAAAACAAATTACGGGTAGCCCTCTTAAGTCCTTATATCACCTTTTTGGGGTCACAGATACCTTTGATTATCAGATGAAAGTGATAGACTCTCTCCCCAGAAAGAAAATACCACATAAACAGTTAATTTTGCATACAACCTCAGGGGCATCACATATCTTCTGGAATCCAAGTTAAGGATCTCTGCTCTAAACTCTGTAGAGAAAATTTTAATGCAATTAATTGATAAAGTTAGGAACTAAGTATTGGCCTGAAACATTTCAGATTGGAATTACTGTTAGATGGTGGCCCCTACTAGCAAAATGTGACATTCTAGACAGCTTTGTTAGACATTCTAACAACCAGACAGAAGGAAGAGAGAAGCAAAGTTCTGAGAGCTATTTTTAAGGAGTTAGGGCATCTCTAGACATGGGAGCCACTCCTGGTTCAAGACAGGGGTCAGGGTGCCTGACAGCTTCTAGCAGGGTAGAGTTTGATAAACCACAATGCTCAGGATGCCAAGGGGTTAGCCATTATCTTAACCCCTTCCTCACCAAAAGATTTTAGTTTTGTCTATTGGGAAACAAGATGTCACTAGGGAAGAAAAAGATTTGCCTTACACCTTTGCTGGAACACATCAGTTTGGTGATGTATGGGACACCGGTATTGTTTTTGAGAAAGTACATAAAACCAAAGTAAATTATTCTCTATGTAGAACATTATTTACTAGTAACTTTTGTTTGGATGTATTAGCTTTGACAATTTTTACCAGTAAATATTGGTTTTATTTACAACTGGGAATCCAGTTTATGAATAGGGTAGTTGATATATCTGTCCTTTCCCCCTATAAAGAATAGTTTAAAGGTTTATGCATACTTTTTATTTTTCTCTCTTGATGCCGTGGAGTGGGGTGGGTGGGTGGGGAGAGATCTTTGAGTCAACAAACTGACAAAATGACTTCTTCAAATTGAAAAAGCAGCACCTTATTTAAGTCTAACTGTATACCATTTTAGTGCATGTATTAGTTTTAATAATGATTTTTGGTGCATGCCTTTGGGCTTATTCAAAAGTGTACAATAGGAAAGTATACGTATTTCCTTTCTTAGAAAGGAGATGTTTTTCTACTTTGCAACATGTGATTACAAAAATCTTCCTCTGTGGGAAGATTAACCATGTATTGAACTACTGAAAAGTATATATTTTTAGATATACAGAAGGAATCTACATGGAGCAGCATTCAGACCTATATAGAAGTCATAGCATTCTGTATAGGACCAAAAAGGAAATAACATTAAACAACTTAAACAGACTTTGTTGGGTAGAAATACCTTTAGATCTTGCATTGACATCCAAAAACAAAATGCCACAAAAGTTTGCTGAGAACTTTTGTCATTTGAATTTTCTCTGTCAGTGTATTTAGCCCAAATAGAACAGCTTTGGGTTAACACATACATAAGAATCAAAAAAAACAAAGCTAACTAAATAAATCAGTCTGGTTTGCCAATCCAGCTTGACTAAATAAGTAAACTAATCACTTGCAACATGAAAAACTGTCCAACTCCTCTAAGGTTTTGACAAAATAACCTTGGCTGATGTGGGAAAACTCCCACTTTGATTTCTGACCTGACAGTGAAGGTTCATGCTTGACATGATTTCAAACCTGACAGTGTCTGTTTAAGGAGCTATGGTACAGTTTGCTAATTCAATCTCAGATACCTGTTGATTACCTGTGAGATCTAGAGTCCAAAGTAGCCAGCAGCCGTATCCCTGAGTGCTCTGTGCCCATCAGATCTCTTAAAGTTAAGCAGGGTTGGGACAGGTCACAGCTCTGATGAGTGACCTCAGGAGCTGTGGACAGCCCCAGATTCAGTTGTATCTGCTTTCTTGGGAGTCATCACTGAACTAATGTCCCACATGGTGTTACTTCCTGTAGATGCTCTCTCTTGAAGGAGGCCCAGAGCACACATCCTAATTGCTTGTGGTACTCAGAGAGGGGGTGCTAACTCTGATGCCCTGGCCAAATTCCAGTTTAGGGATGTGGGTCTTCTTGCCATTCTAATTGGAAATGTGCATCGCTTCCCATTTTCCCTGTTGATCTCAGTGCAGACTGCACTGGTATATTTCTTTGCCCTGATCCCAAGTCTTTAAGATGCTGGTGTGTATTATATGGGCCAAGTTCATGCCTTATCCTAATGCTGGAAGGTTGAGGAATGAGTGAGCTTGGTATCACAGTGCCCTATAGTAGGAGGGTAAACTCTTGTGATGATTTAGGGATGAAGTTGGTCCTCTTTTTAGCATATGTTGGGAATGTACACTGGTCAGAGGCTTCCAGCCATGAGGTGTGAACTGAAACCTATTTTCCCTCTTTTCTTATAGCATGTTGAGAAAATCTGTTGGGTTTTTAGCAGTCAGGGAAGGCCGGAGTTCTGCAGCTTTAATCTGGGTAACTGAGGCTGGTTTGAGCAAGACTTTGGTTAATTAACTAGGTTCTCAGATGCCACAGACTCCGTGAAAAGTCACCATTATTTTCAATGGTTGTGATAGAATTTCCCTCAGTAGCCATTATTTTAAGATTATATTGCAGAGTTGCTTTATTTGAGCTTTTTGTGTATACACAATCCCAAACTGGAAGAAATAATAATTTAAAAAAAAGGAATCCTGCTGTGAAAGGTATATATTACTCTAGATTTTTCTTACTGTAAATATTGTAAGATTGTAATACTGTCGATATTTTATTAACCAACAAATGTTAATCTATGTGAATTCAGACTTATTTTAAATGTGCTTCTTATTTACTGTGTGTGGTCCCTGTTGCTGACAGTATTAAGTTATATTCTGATGTAAGATTAACTTTATTAAAGAATGTAAACATTAATGTTTCCTTATGGGAAAACAAATAAAGTATAAAGAAGACAATTCTTTTCATTAAAATATACTGTGTATTTACACTTGCTAGACCCAGCACCACTTATAAATTTAGTACATTGTTCAAAATTTTAGTTAACACAGCTGACATGGTTGTGCTCTGAAAGCCTAAGAGTAGGTATTGTTGGAATATGAACAGTTTGTATTTGTCCGCTGTGAATCATAATCTTGAAATTTCTAATCAAGTTTGTAAAATTTTTATAGTAAAACATTTTAATGACAATTTAAAAATTTATCTTCTCTAAAGAATGGTCAAAACAATATCCTTTCAGGAATAGAATTGTTCTTTAATATCTTTCCAAAATGACTTTGGTTAAATGGACCAGATGTATATTAGTTAAAATTTAGGACAAAATTGTAATATTCTTTGAGTTTACAAGTTAATCCTTATTGGAGATGTGCCAATTATACAGTAGAATATCATTAATTTGCACTGTTTGGGGACCCCATTAAGAATGCTGAATTTTGCCAACTAAGAAGTAAGCAAATGCAATTTAAAAACTAAATTTGAGCATTCTGTATTAAATATGTGCAGTTATTACCACATGAAGAAGCGCAGTGTGTCGGGCTGTAATATAACCATACTTGCTGTCATGTTCTCCCATCTCAGTGCTGGGAACTCACCATGTGGAAACCAAGCAAATGTGTTGTGCATCAGCCGGCTTGAGTTTGTTCAATATCAAAGCTGAAACTAGCGAGGTCTGCTGTACTGCTTATTGAAGTATTGTGATTCTTTTAGGCATTGATTCTTAAAAAATATATACTGTAACAGTATACTTTGTACAGATTTAAATTTTATTTGAAAAAAATGAAATAAAGTAGGCAAAAAAATAAAGATGTTTATTTTTCATGTGACTGTATAAACAGATCAGTCTTTTGTTTCAGTGCCTTTGGTGGGGGTGGTTATGGTTGCTCTTGGTTTTTTTTTTTGGATAGACAAAAACCATTTTAAGGGTTCAGTAGCAGGTATATTTGTCTGATAATTAATTTGCTGCAGGCATTAGGTGTGCTGTCTCACATTGGAAAGCTTTCCTATTTTATTTTAAAACAAATTAGATTTTATGTGAATGGCTTCCCTATCTTGCTTCTTAAGTCAGTTTTTAAAATTCTCTGGTGTTGGGACGGTTAACCAAGCCATCACGACTAAAGAGAAGGAAAAATTTTTCCCATAGACTATGCCCCTTTTCCACTGGAAGTTTTTTGTTTTTTGTCGTTTAAATTTGAAGTTGGTTTGGGTTACAAAAGAGCCATGACAAAAGATGAAGAGAATCCTCTGCAGAAAATAACAGTTGTGCTTGAAAATAAGATCCTTTTGAAACTGCTTTTCTAGTGAAAGAAGTTACCAATAAAAATGTGCCACAGGAGTGATCCTTCAGAATAGTTTTAATGGGACCTTCTCAGAGAAGATTAGATTATCTGACCAAAAAGAGCTATCTCAGTTTTGGCCTCTAACTCAAAAACTAGCAGTGGCTTCAGTTGTATGGTATTTTCCTCAACCTTTAGAAATGGAGTTGGAAGTTTGGATTTCTGCTTTCTCCTCAATTTATCTTTTCTGGTGCTTTCACTTACTTTTAGGCTGGATATGAGAAGGCTTGGAACCAGTGATTGCAGAAACAAAGTTCCTGCAAAAATCACACTATAAAAGATTTTTTTCTTTGCACTTCGAATGCAAGGAGCATGTGTTTAATCCCTGGTTGGGGAACTATTTTGGTTAGTACAAAAGTAATTGTGGTTTTGAGGTGTAAATTTTAAATCATTATAACTAGACTCAAACACATCTTTATTAATTGAAATAGGAACCATTACAATTAACACATTTTTGCCAATGAGAAATAAGTTTGTTTATTCATGTAGTGTAAAAATCCATGCTTAGGGATTGGACAAGCTCCTGGAAAGCATTTTCTGCCTCCTGCTGGTTGTGGAAGCATTTCCCTGCAAAAAGTTGTCAAGATTCTTGAAGAAGTGGTAGTCGGTTTGCGAGAGGTCAGGTGAATATGGCGGATGAGGCAAAACTTCTTAGCCCAATTCATTCAACTTTTGAAGCATTGGTTGTGCAACATGTGCTCGGGCATTGTTGAGAAGAATTGGGCCCAAGTTGACCAATGCCGGCTGGAGGCGTTGCAGTTTTCTGTGCATCTCATCAATTTGCTGAGCATACTTCTCAGATGTAATGGTTTCTCTGGGATTCAGAAAACTAGTGGATCAGACATGTAGCAGACCACTGAACAGTGACTTGACCTTTTTTGGTGCACGTTTGGCTTTGGTAAGTGCTTCGGATCCTCTTGGTCCAGCCACTGAGCTGGTTGTCGCTCGTTGTCATATAAAATCCACTCTTCATTTCTTGTCACAATCCAATAGCGAAATGGCTTGTTGTTGTTGCATAGAGTAAGAGAAGACAGCTCTTCAAAATGATGATTTTTTTATTTTCGGTCAGCTCATGAGGCACTCACTTATGGCTTTTTCACCTTTCCAATTTGCTTCAAATGCTTAATGACCATAGAATGGTCAACATTGAGTTCTTTGGCAATTTCTCATGTAGTTGTAAAAGGATCAGCTTCAGTGATTGCTCTCAGTTGGTTGTTGTCAGCTTCTGAAGGCCATCCACTATGCTCCTCATCTTCAAGGCTCTCGTCTCCTTTGCAAAACTTCTTGCACTACCACTGCACTGTACATTTGTTAGCAGTTCCTGGGCCAAATGCATTGATGCTGTGAGTTGTCTCTGCTGCTTTACGACCCATTTTGAACTCGAATAAGAAAATCGCTCAAATTTGCTTTTTGTCTACCATTTCCATAGTCTCATATAAATATAAAATAAACAGCAATTAATAAGTCACTACCAAAAGATGAAGTGAGAAATGCACATTGAAATGATGTATAACATAACCACATTTATTTAAGAATGTATTCCAGTATCAAATGGCAAATTTCAACAATGCAAAAACCGCAGTTACATTTGCACCAACCTAATACATTCCTGCATGCTGTTTAGCATGTCCAAAAAAAAAAAAAGACAACCAAATAAATAAATAGATACATATGTATAACAGTAGTGATATTCTAAAGACTGATGCATGGTCATTGAAATATCTCATGTTCACAGTAACACAGTTTCAGGCTTCCTTGAGTAAATTCCAAGAAAGCTTTGTTGTCGTTTGGATTTTTTCTTGCTGAAATGGCTTTCCTTTGTAGAGAGGAGCAGAATAGCTATTGGAAGACAGCTAGTCACAGCTAGCCAGCTGTTGGACCAGCTTCCACACCTGACAACCACCAACTCCTGTAAAAATAACAGATACTGTGCTGTATGAAAACGTAAAGTGGAGGGGCCTCTGTTTTGCGTGGGTAGGGCAGGTGGCAGTGCCTCTGATTTAGGCGGCACACAGAGGACAGCTGGGGACTTCCTAAAGATTCTCCCCTCACCTCAGTGTAGAGTCAGACAAACTCCTGGGACTCCCAGAGGAGGACGCTAGTATTGGAGATTGTGGTAGAAACTCTAGCCACAATTTGTGGTAAAGGTAAAAGGGAATGAAAAGCCGGAAGCCAGGCCCCTTCCAAACTGTCCCATCGCCTTAATCTTTGAAAGATTCCAAATGGGAATCCCTGACCTCAGGGAATATGCCCTGAGGTAATTTTGGAGAGGTGGAGGTAAGGTTCTATTGCAGGGCTGCAAGGGAACATCCCAGACTTGGGATGGGTCTGAACTCTAGGGCAAGGCTTATGGGCCCATGGGAGCCCCTGAGGAAAGGGGCCCAGCATGGTCAACAGAACTGTTAGCCATTTTTATTTAGCACTTTTCTCTTCTAAAGCGATAAAATCGGCAATCTCTTCCCACCCCCACCTCCAATGGATGTTAACTTTTATTTAACCATGTAGTATGTCATTTACTTTGGCTCTTTTGCATGATTTTTTTAGAACTCTCTCTGTTCCTAGTGCCAGTAAGAGTTTCTTTCTCAGCAGACAGGACTTTCTGATTTGGGGTACTGGGTTTTGGAAGAGGTTCTGCTCTTATGGGATCAGAGGAATGAGAGATCTCTTTTTGTCTGCTAGCTAACTTCAGGGTCAGCACAGGCACTACTGCTTTCATTTCACTTCAGCACCGTCCCCCACACTTCAGGAACTTGAGAAGGAACCACTGATTTTTCCCTCTGAAAATGGGGATTTTACCTTAATTTCGCAAATCTCTGGAGTGTTTCCAATAACGTTGTTCCCGTTTTCCTACCAGCTTTGATTTTCATTCATTTTGGTTTGTTCAAATCAGGCCATTTGGCACTTAGGTTGGCAGTGAGAAAATGTCACAAAAAGGCTCACTGAATGTTGCAATGTTTAAAAGAGCAGGATATCCCCACCTCACAGCCAGCAGAGTTGTCCAGTTAACCCCACCATCCTAGGAACCCTGTTCTCCCTGCTTGCTTAGCTCGTAACTCAGACCTTCCCCAGGAAGCAGGAATTTCGTCAGCCTCCCAGGGAGACTGGCAGCTAGCTGCTCCAGGCTCGGAGGCCTTCTCTTTATGCCTCTGGCAGTGACACTGTGGGTGAGTATGTACTGCCATCATCCTAAATTTTTCCAAGCCCCTCACTTAAAAAAAAGCTCAATATTGAGTTTTTAAACTATGCAAGCTAAGTGTTTTGTCTAGGTTATTTCATTAAGTCTTACTACAACCCTATGAAACAGGCACTATTATTACCCCCATTTTACAGAAGAGGAAACTAAGACACAAAGAGATCAAGTAACATCCCCAGGTTACACAGTCATAGTTCAAATCACAAGTCCTGGCAGATGATGCCCAAGAACACTCTTGGTCTCAGTCACTCTAGCGCCTCCTCTTCCCCTAACTCCTAGGGTCTCCCAGACTCTGACAGTGCCTTAGCTCAGGATGTATTCAGCTGGAGGGCAAAACCACTGTTCTCTGAAATAAAGGAAGATTTCTCTGTATAGCTCACAAGCCACACTTCCTGTTCTGAAGGTTGATTCATGAATGAATCTACATTTTCATTTCCCCCTCCACTTTCATGGGGGAGTGACTTACTCAGACAAGGTCTGAGGAAACATGGTGAATGGCCCTTCCAGGCCTCTCCCCACTGCTCTTGCTTAAAGTACAGCGCTGGGTACTATTCCTCATCACAATGACCTGATCAGAGAGCCCTGTGAATGAGCCCTTCAGTTCTGTCCAGTGGAGCTGTTGATTCCTTTCTTGTCCCCAGGTTATACCCCCCAGCAGACACCCTCTGTCTTCCTTATGGCTGACCTCCTATCTGGGCCCATTTGGCTGCAGATACAGGCTCAAAAGAGAACAGGAGGCAGCTTCCCAGAGAGGATCTGGGTCTGCCCAGATTCCCTAAACCTCACTACTTGCCAATAATTGGCCCAGTAATTGGATCCATCAGGGCCAGCCATGTAGTTTCCAGCTTAGAGCTTTGCTTGGGCTTGTAACGTTTCTGAAGGCACTTAGCATCCTCTAAAATTGCTATTTCCCGGATGCTTCATAAGCTCTAAGGGAAGGTCCTGAGGGTCACTCTCTAGAGTCTTCTTCCAAATACAAAATATGAAATTCTTTGGGACTTAGGGCTGGTTTAGAGGGCTATGGTATCTATTAGAACTCTTGTCTAAAAAGGGATGCTCATAATCCCTCATGTTTCTTGTATCCTCTAAAGCAGTGATTCTCATGGTGTGTTCCCTCACCCCAGAGCATTA